GCGGGAGCGCGACGCCTCCCTGGAGGACGGCCTCCGGCCCCCGAAGAGGTTCAAGGGTGACCCTGCCGCTCTGAGTGACCCCCCTGCTGCCAGCAGCCTGCTCATGGTCCTGATCGAGGGCCTACAGCAAACCTACGGGAGCATCGCCCTGCCCCGCCTGCGGTGCTACGCCCTGGCCAACCTGGTGGAGCTGCTGTCGGTGTTCTCCGAGCTGCAGCCAGAGGGCAGCCCCCTCCCTGCCGCAGAGTACCTGGGCAAGGTCAGCTCTGTGGTCAGCCTCTGGAGCAAGGACACTGAAAGCCAATTCCACCACAGGGGGCTGGACGAGAAGGTGAAGGAAGCAGAAAGAAGTGTGAGCCTCTTGTCCAAGGCTAAATTGTCTCGTGAGGAGCTCTTTGTTGGCTTGGACTTTCTTTGCAGCTTGATGCGTGCCTGGGGAGAGGAGCTGCAGGGCACCCTGACCAGCTCTGAGGAGCTCTGCTATGAGAGCTACCGGCTCCTGGGTACCCTTAACAGCTTTAGGAAGAGCCTGGTTTGCTTCTCGGAGACTGGAGAGCTGGGTGAGGATGAGGCACGTGTAGTGTTAGAGCTGACACAGATCACCAAGGACTTCCTCAAGGAGATCGGTGCCAGCCTGAAGAGTGAGGGTTTGGACACCAGCCTTCTGTCTTCAGTTGCCATGACAGTCATTGACCAAAAGCTAGAGCGGCATATAGAGATGTGCTCCATTTTTGCCTCTGAAAAGACCTGGGCTTTTTCAAAGGACTGGGTTCACTGCCTTGAGAGAAACAAATCCCTCTTTCAGAAACCAGAGCTAGTTTTGAAATTGCTGGAGACGCTGGTGAGCTTTGCCACGTCCCGCCAAGACAAGGAGGCCCAAGAGCTGCAGATGCAAGTGACCAAAGCCATCGTGGAGTGTTACACCAACCTTTCATTAACTGACAAAAACGAAGTGATCTCAGGTGTCCTGGCGTCCTGGGGTGCACCAGGTCTGTCCCTGAACTTGCAGGTTGTCATGGAGGGCTTCCAGGAGGATCTCAATGTGACTTTCAACCAGATCACAAAGAGTGTGTCTGATGAAGGCCTGACCAGAGCTGTGGATTCTGTGGCCAGGCTTGTGCTGCTGTACCCCGAGGCCACGGTGAAGCAGGTTTGTAATCTTGCTGTAGTCAACCTAGGAGTACACCAGTTCCTCGCCCAGATCCTCTGCTCCTTCCCAGCACTGAGCTTCCTGGAGACCCACAATGACCCAAGCAGGCCACGGGGCCTCGTGGTGAGGTGTCTGGAGGAGGCGGTGTGGGGGAAGCTTTCTTCTGTGAGGGAAGAGGAGCAGTTCCTTGAGTTCCTGGCCTTTCTCATGCAGCCAAGTTCAGCCACCCCCCTTGTGTCCCCTGCAGAAGTGACCCAAGCCTTTGTCCTTCCCTATTTGAAGTCAGACTCTGCTCAAATTGAGCTGAGCCTGCAGATCCTCAGTAAGGTTTTGAGGATACACTCCTGCTCAGAAGAGCACTGGATCAAATCTTGCCACCCGTTCCCACTTCTCCTCAGCCTCTGCAAGCTTCTCGATGGTTACACAAAGTACTGGCATCAGCCCAGGGACCAGCTCTTCCCTTCGCTGGAGACCAAAGACCTGATCCTGACCATCCTCTGCCAGCTCTGTGAGGTGGTAAGGCCAGAAACCGCCCCCTCCCCTGAGCTGTGGGTCCAGTCGCTGGCTTGGCTGCACAGGAAAGTGGCGTCTCTGGACTGGACCGTTGGTCTCCGGCTGAAGAAACTCTATGGAGACCATTTCAAGAACGAGGTCCCGGCAACACTGTTTGAGATCTGCACGCTTCCGGAGGACGAGTGGACGTCCCAGCCTCTGCCAGCCTACGGACCGGGCAGCGGGCTCCTGGCATGGATGGAGTGCTGCTGCGTGTCCACGGCGCTCAGGGAGACCATGCTGACGCTCCTCACCGTCAACGTGGACAACCCCGAAGAGGTGAATCTCTTCAGCAAAGGGTTCCTGGTGGCCTTCGTACAGGTCCTCCCTTGGTGCAGCCACAGCGAATGGAAAAGGCTCGTGCCCGTGGTCGAGAACCTGCTGCAGAGGCAGATCCTGCACGTGCCCTACACGCTGGAGTACGTGCAGTACGTGCCCCTGCTCAACCTCCGCCCGTTC